AGTTTAGGGGGCTTAGGAGCTGAATGACTTCAAACTAGGAAAACGAAGACAATCGGTTTCAACAAATATGATAAAGACGGGAAGGACGGACAACGGTGTAAGGCATTCCAGTATGGACTTCAGTTCCAGCCTGTGGTCGGGCTTCACAGTCATTCCCTCTACTTGGTCCTAAATTCTCTGATGTGAATTTTATATTGAGCAATTGAAACAAGGGACGCTGGGCCCGCTTCTCAGTAGGTGCTGCTCCCCACCAATAGATGGGGCCACCTTGGGAAAGCTTGAGGCGACTGCTCCCTATGTGTCCCCCACGGGGGTAGTCATCGCGGTTGCAACTGCGGCCCGCGGTTGGGGCCGCGAGGCCGCGGTCATGACGGCCACGGTCGCGGCCAAAATCGGCCCGCTGTGGCCGAGGGGGGGGGGGTATTGACAATCGGGGTCGGGATTCCATGGGCGGGTACTGAGCCCCACCCCCCCATAACAAAAAATAAATAAAAATTTAAAAAACGGGGGGGTCCAAATAGGGGGGGTTTAGACGGGGGAGAAAACAATTGTGGAGCCCCTTTTTTTTTCATTCATTCTCTTTGTTGAAAAGCCCGCTGTTTTTTTTTTTTTACTTTTTTTTTTTAATTGATTGATTGATTGATTAATTGATTGATTGATTGATTGATTGATTTGTTGGTTGATTGATTGGTTGATTGGTTGATTCAACTTGATTGATTGCTTGGTTGAAACTTGATTTTTTTTTTTTGGATTGATTTGTTGATTGATTGATTGATTGTCAATGATTGATTGATTGGTTGATTGATTGGCAAGGGAACAAATCCAAGTCCAATCTGCAGCACAGGCGATAAAGCTGATAAGTACAACCGAAAGGACACCTCATAGGGAAGAAGAGATGGAAAAAAGAAAGATAGATAGATGGATAGATAGATAGATAGATAGATAGATAGATAGATAGATAGATAGATAGATAGATAGATAGATAGATAGATAGATAGATAGATAGATAAATAAATAGATAGATAGATAGATAGATAGATAGATAGATAGATAGATAGATAGATAAATAGATAGATAGATAAATAGATAGATAGATAGATAGATAGATAGATAGATAGATAGATAGATAAATAGATAGATAGATAGATAANAGAGAGAGAGAGAGAGAGAGAGAGAGAGAGAGAGAGAGAGAGAGAGAGAGAGAGAGAGAGAGAGAGAGAGAGAGAAGAAAAGGCGGAAGATAAAGAAGAGAAAACGCAACACAATCCTTAGCGCACGAAAAAAATACTGGAATTCAAAAAAAAAAAATGGAGTGATGAACATGAATTCCAATCACGGACGTCCCGACGCGTTTCGGCTGCGTCCGTGAGCAGCCATCATCAGGGGACTGAGAAAGAAGTGCGCTAAGGAACAGATTACCACCCAAGCCTTAAATACTCGAACTTCAGCGTAGTTGATCCCACCATCGCAGCTGATATCTCCACATAGTGTCTGTCGTATGGTAACCAGCGGCTCCAAGAGACCTGCCGCTGCAAACTGAGCAACTTCCAAATCTAGCCATAGGGGAGAGAAACGGGAGAAACGTGAGAAGCATAGAAGTTGCGAAGGCGCGTGGGAGGAGGCGGGAGGGGAACGCAGGGAAGGCACACGGTACGCAGTGGGTAGTCAGAAGATAGGCGAAACCAGACAGAGAAAGATGGCGGAGCGCCGATGTAGGAGGCAGAACGAGATGCCAGAGATGTAGTTAGATCCATGATGAATAAGCTGGAGAGAGATGTTGATTGTGTCGCGTAGGAAAGCCGTAGCGGATGTTCTGGAGAGCGGGACGGTATGTTGAGCAGGGGTAGCGAGCCGAATGGGATGCCAGGATTGTCTTGCCCGAAGGACTGCGGGATGAGACAAACAGGAGCAGGGTGAAGGAAGATGCGGAGTATGTAGCGTACAGATAACGTAGATAGAACTCATTCGAAAAAGGCGGGAAAAGCAAAAGAAGGGGAGCGGGAGAAGCTACAGAAAAAGAGCGGGAGGAGTCCGTGGAGGAGGCGCATATGAACAACCAGACAAACAGATGGAAAGATGAGGGCGAGAGAAGAAGTTACGGGGGTCTGAAGCCGATGGGATGTTGTATCTTGGGGCGTCATCGATACCCGGTACCCAGGCCCATATCGAACAGTCTGACCCATAAATCCCAGCACCCTCCTTTGACCGCGGAAAAATTCCTGAGGGTGTTGTCGAAAATCGTAATCGGGAACCCTTTGAGACGAAATTCCTTCCTCAAAGCTAGCAGCACCACTCCCATTCCTCTATTGTCTGAGGAGTGGGAGAATATTCTGCTGAGATGGCCCTTCACCACACCTTTCTTTTGGTTGATTGGCCCATATGAAGAGTAGTCTTGTGTAGACAAAATTTGAATGGGGGAGTCGCTCCAAATACAATCCTGATTCTTGGTGATGGCAGTACATCGAATTGAAGGAGGCAGCGAAGAGCAGTTTATATTGCAGCCCAAAAAATCCCAACATCCTTTGCGATCATCGATCCTTACCAGGGATAACTGGTTGTCGTATGATTGCTCAAATTTTCGCAGGATATCAGCAGACTTCTTATTCGATACCGGATCATTTCGCGGTAAGAGAATAAACACGCTCACATCGTCTACTAATCGTATACCAGTAATAAATCGGGCGTCAGTTCCCAGAGAGTGAAGAAAGTTAATTGCATTAAAGGAATAGAGAAGGCACGCCAGACCGGGGCTAGAACTTTTTCCCATGGGAATACCAATCGTTTGTTGCATAATAAACGTAGAAACACACGAGTAGGTATTGAGAAGATCAAAGGTTACGAAATCGAAGATCTGCTTGAGTTTTATAGAAACCCATCCACTCACCCCATTCCCTTTGCTCAGTGAGACTTCCTTTCCTTGCCTGTTGACCCTAACACATCGTACACCCATACCTGAGTAGAAGTAGCAAATCCAATTCAGCGCTCTCAGAATAGACCTATGTAGTAGTTTAGTGAACATCTTTTTTATGTCATAGCTAGCGGATATCATCATACCATTCTTCCTTTTTTCGGATTGTCGATCAAGTGTCAGGATTCTTTCCTTGAGCTGATTAGTGGATTTCAAATTGAAGTTCGAAGCACGAGAAAGGTTCCAAAGTAGAAAGTTGACTGCTCTAGACACCAATTTGCAGGCCCGTACGCTAGGTTCGGAGAAGGAGGGGGAGATAGGTCGCCATCGAGAAATATCCTTATGCTTGGGAATGCCGTAGCAGCGCCCTAGTCTCCCCTTGGGATTCCAGCGGGCTATCCGGCATGCATTGATATTGTCGTACCTATTTTTGCAAAGTTTTAGAATATCATCCTCGTTTTTTTGTATAATAGTAACACCCCCATTTTTCCAAAACAGTCTAGCGAGCGCATTATAATATATGCTCATACAACAAACAAACGAGTCGCGCGCATTGTGATCGATGGGAGTAATAACCAAGCCCTGAAACAAATTGAGCCAGACGTCAAGACTGAGAATGGGAGCACCGGTGTCTGCGGACTTATCGCTGGTACAAGATTTCACTTCCTTATTAAGAATAATTCTATCATTCGGTAATCGACGGAGGCCCTCCCGGAGTGCAGTTTTCAAGACGGAAGGAAGTACATGCGGAGGTGGAGGTAGAATATTCCGTGAGTTACGCAAAATCTCAGGCATCTCGTCGAATTGCGAGATCCGGATTTCAACATGCCCGTCTTTATTCCTCGGTAGTTCAGGGCAGAATGAAGTACAGGAGCAGAATTCATTGGCAGTTGATGCCGCCGAGCGGTGGTTATGCAAGCTCTGACCGATACTCCTGTTTTTTGTCCACACAAATCTGAGTCTGGAAATAATGAAATCGGATAGGAAGTCTGATCGATATCTCTGTCGGATCATCCTTTTAGATAACTCAACAACACTCCTCTTGGAAATCGTTTTATTATACCGAATTTTTATAACAGTCGGGGAGGTACAGTTAAAGCCCACTTTCTTCCTGATGACAACCCCCACAATACTCCGCAGAACAGTCTGAGTATTGGCAGAAGGAAAGGAATCAATCACGTGATACAGTCGGATCAGCGCCTTAACTTCAAAAGAATACAGCAATACTCTAGAGGGTGGGAACTGTAGTAAAGATAGTAGTACGAACTTGCGGGATGCATGCTGGTTACGACTCATACGGAGTTGGGTTATAGTGAACACACCTCCCAAGCAAAGTTCCGACCAAGCATCCTTTAGCAAGATCCTGGAACCATTAATCTCCAGGATGGTCCATCCGAACAGTTTTCTGAGTTTTCCCCATCCTCCTAGATAATAACCCCCACCACTGGAAAAACAAGAAGCGAAATTAACCCCAGAATCCTTGAGATCTTTCAAAGTATCACAAAGTGTGTACGTGCGAACAGCGTCAGTTCTTACGAATGAGGAACCTGCAGAAACACCAAACTCAATAATTCGGTTATCACGGAAACAATTAGTGTTGTCTATACCTAGACGAGCACGATACGACTTCCTTTCCCTCCGACCTCTTCTTTTACAAGGTTTTTTCTTTTTATAGTTTCCATGCACAGTGTTGAGACAAGGACAGAAGCGGTGGATTAAGGAAGCCTCCGACTGTCGTAAGTCTGAATCGAGAGGGAAGATCAAGGGGATAGCAACATAAGACTCCAACCCTGTCCTTTCTAACCAGCGTTTAAGTTTATGGTTCCTTCCTTTTGTATCGGATTTCACTAATCTGACATGTTCCTTCCAGCGGTCTGAGACTCGCCTACTAGTAGATCCAATGTACGTAGCTCTGAACTAGGGCGAAATCAAGACATAAACACAGCGTTCGTTACCAACACAAATATCGTGACCTCGATGAACTGAGTCAATCCAAAGATCTGTAAACTCACGGCCCCAGTTAACCACCCCGACGGCAAACAGCACTAGGACAAAAAATCTCATCATCGTTTCGAGGCGAAGGTACTGCTCCCCTTTCAAGTCACAACGTTTCCTCGCCTCGCGGATATCATAGGCTTGCTGCCATAGCCAGCCTGTGTCCCAGACAGACTTCAGGAGGGATTCTCCTCTTGCTCATCCCCTCCTGCAATGTCGGCGTTGAGCAGCTCCTCATCCTCGTCTTCCTCAGTATCCCCATAAGCATCCCGCGCCCGTAGTTTGACCAGTTCATTCACTGCCTGCTTCTTGTTGATATACTTGATGTTGTCCTTCCTGCACAATACCTCCAAATCCGCCTTGTACTCCTCCATCAATTCCCTCTTCATATCTGCCAGATATTGTTTTCTTCCTTTCGGACCCACAGATGCTACCGCTACCTTCTTCCCTTCCCGAACTCAGTCGAATCCGAGATTCGTAGATCGAACAGCAGAGAACGATCCAGACATTCTCCTTGCATGACCAGCCACTGATGCAAAAACCTCGGCCAATCTTCCGGTTGGTCTGCTGGAAGAAGGCGTCCCATTGTTGCCAGCATCAGGATTGCTAATGCCAGTGTTGCCAGCGCCAGATCCGTTAGCATGTGCACGTGTTAGGGGTCGAGAGGGAGGGGGTGGTTGAGATGGAGGAGTTGGGGCACGGGCAGGCACCCGAACTGTCGGCGGAGAAGGGGGAGGGGAAGGAGGACGAGAGGAAGGACGTGTTGGTGAGGAAGGACGCGAAGATGGGCTGGACGGAGGTTGGCCATAGTTCTGACGAGAAGGGGATGGGGGGCGTCCGTCGATCGGATTAGAGGGAGGGTGAAAGTGGGGGCGAGGAGGCGATGTAGGGCGCTGCTGAGGTGGAGGGGGAAAGTGGGGGCGAGGTGGCGATGGAGGGAGCTGCTGAGGTGGAGGGGGAGAGGTAGCACGTTGATGATGTGTAGGGGGAAAGGAAGTAGATCGATGATCATGGGAAGCATTGCCAGGTTGCGATGGGGCATGGGGAGGAGGAACAGGAAACGAGGGCTGGGAGTTAAAAAACACAGGATGTTGCGGAGGGAAGCTGGAGCCCAGTTTTTTTATAGCAGTCACCATTCGTTGCATCATGGATTCCTGTGATCGCTGGAAGGACTCTTGTTCACGCTTGAGAGTATTGAAATTCATTAGTAGGAGTCCGGCATCGAGCGGACCCATAACTGTTTCAGGTTGCACCTTCTGTCGTCCGACATCCGGTTGCAGCGGGGACCCACCCTGGAGTGCTTCTTGACCCCTCTTCTTCGCTTCATTGTCACCGATTTTAAGGCTCCCGTCTCGAACCTTGGGCTTGTCATCATTTGATCTCACGCCTTCGGATGCTATCTCCTTACCCTTCGCAGGATCTCTTTTGCCACCCGCCTCGTCATCTTTCTTCTTTTTCTCCATGGCCGCAAACTGTTCAGCAAACAGTTTGGCCATTCTTACTTCCCTGTCAGCCTCCTTCCTCTCATTCTCCTCTCGCCGCTTCTCCTCTTCTTCTTTTGCCTTTAGCATCTGCTCCTCTTTTTGCTTCTTCTCCTCTTCACACCTCCTCCTTTCTCGTTTTTCTCTGACACTGTTCACAAGTTCTCGAAGCAAAGCAGCAATCTCGCCTTGGTTGCTCCTCATCGGATTGTTGTAACCCATGCCGCTGCCGATGTTCGTTCTAGGTTGGTACGGGACAATTGCATTTGTTGCTGAAGGTGTCGATGAAGGAGACCTGGATCGCGGTACAACGGCAGCAGTATTGGAGGAGGACGCCACGTGTGTAGATTGAGGCACAGGCGGAGGAGGAGCACTAGGTGCATACTGAGGGTTAATCACTGGCGGTCTTCCGACTTAAGTACCAGAGATAAGACCATCACCTCGTCCGAGTAGCGGACAACGGGCAATGAAATGCCCGTACTGTTTACAATAATGGCAGCACCCGTACGGCGTGGTACTTTCTGCCATCCTACACTTGATCAGTCCAACAACTAGGACACTTGAATCCAAAGAAATGACTAAACCGTAAGGGGAGAGAATGGGAGAGAGCAGGAGAGAGAGAGAGAGAGAGAGAGAGAGAGAGAGAGAGAGAGAGAGAGAGA